ATCGAGAGGAGCCAGCTGAGGTGGCTCGGGCATCTGTTTCGGATGCCTCCTGGGCGCCTTCCTAGGAAGGTGTTCCAGGCATGTCCTACCGGGAGGAGGCCCCGGGGAAGACCCAGGACACGCTGGAGGGACTATGTCTCTCGGCTGGCCTGGGAACGCCTGGGCATTCCCCCGGAGGAGCTGGAGGAAGTGTCTGGAGAGAGGGAGGTCTGGGCATCTTTGCTTAGACTGCTGCCCCCGCGACCCGGCCCCGGATAAGCGGAAGAAAATAGATAGATGGAAGGATGGAACAATAATAGAAAGGAAAGTGACAAACTACATTTAATTAACTTTATTCTACTCATGGCAAAATTTTATATTCACAAATGCAAATTCTCTAAATCTAAACCCTTCTTCCCTGCCCTGTTATGTGAAATTAAAAATTAATTCTCCTCCATCCTGAAGAGCGAAAATAAAAAAGCTATCAAAATTTGTAATATATGTACTTCCCTGAATGTTTTTACTTAACTTAACCCATTAAGTCACCCCCTGCCCTAAAAGTTTCATGTTCACATTGTCTGCTTCGATGTTGTTCTTGTTTTTATGTTCTTTATTTTATGTTATAGTCCTCTTGTTTCCGATCTATTTACTTATGTTTAACTGTCATATGCCCTAATAAAGTATAGAAAAAAAAACAAAAAAAAAAAAACGGTTTGTATTAAAACAAGTGGCTTTTGTGATTATAGCAAGTGTTCAGTTTTATGTTTAACCTACTAAAGTTTGAGAATATAATATGGCTGTCACAGGCACAACTTTTTTCTTACAAGTTTACTGAATTACAACAGCCAGATGGTATATGTCGTTTTATTGTGTGTCTGTGTGTGTGCATGTGTGGTTACTTGCACATTTTTTATGATCTAAACATGGTGTGTAATTTTCAGCCCACATGCCATATCTCAACCGAAACTGGCCCAAATCCACACAACCAAATCTGGCAACCTATACTGGGCCAGATCTAACTCAGTGTTGGTGAGCCAATGCCAGAATTCAACCAAGTGTGCCGACACTTAGCCAGAATCGGCCCAGATCCGCTGGCTACATAACTTTACAGCACACACTTGACAATTTTCTCTGCCGACTGGCAGCAGAGACAGAGCCAGACTGGAAATATGTAAAGTTAGATGCGACCAGCTATCGTGACAGATCATAATCGGCTTTCGGAAAGTGCGCGTGAAGCCACCAATATGCCACTAAAATAATTAAGCAACGTTATATTTTCTGCAAAAAAGGTCTTTAACCACAAAGGTAACGAACTGGCGTTAGCCCATTGGTAGCTTATTTTGGGTCAAGTGCATGAAATTATCCCGCTAGTTAGCTAATGTTGAGCACTAAGGCTACATCGAATAACAATGTTAAGTATTTATTAACCAAACGGTGACTTCAGTTGACAAGCTACCAGAACAGTAAAATAACCAAGAACACAAACATACTTACCTTCGCAGCCACAGTCACAATTTTCCTATTTAAAAAAATCCAAACAGTCATCTGTATGCCCCTCTCAAACTCAGCCGCCATTCAAAAAGTCCTGCTTTGTTTGGAGCGCAAACTCCCTGTGACATCACCCACCGAGTTTGGAGAGTGTTGCCAGATTTGCTTGCATTACCCAAGTAAAGTTTACTTCCTCTCAAGAAGTTAAGGCAGGCAATGCATTAGTGTAGTTAATATTACTTGTTATTGTCATACAAACTTTACTTGTATAAACGATTATACAAAATTACATACAAACATCAAGTATCACATTAAATTCGAGGTTAAATTCTGAATTAAATTTACAAACACGAGAATTTCTTGTAAAGTTTAAACATATTATTAGAGTAATATTTACTCGGTTAAAAAATCATTTTTTGCAGTGCTTTTGTAAATTCCACTGGCTAATTAACCAACATTAATGGTCCAACATTAACCTGAATGATGGAAGCAAATAACTGTACTTGCAACAGTTTTGTTGCAAAGCACAATTTTCTGGTGAATTTAGATCTTGTGTCGAGTAAAGACCGAATTATTGTTGTATAAGCATAGCAAGCATCATATCAAGAAGGCTAACAAACGTAAGACTAACGTTATACCAATAAATTAACATTAGCCCTTCACTGATGACATGGATACCGTAATCATACAGAACGTAGTTGCCTACCTTTATCCTTTGCTCGTTTCTCCTCTTCTTCTTTTCTCTTTTTCCTAAATTGGGCACCTGACAGCTTTGACCTTTTTCTCTCCATCGCTCTGTTTTTTTCTTTTGCAATCGACAATCAACAGATTTCCCATCACGACCAGAAGTCAAGACTAAACCAATTCACCTTGTATTGCCTATTTTTATTAGCCATATAGATCTGTGTTTATAATATTATGAATGAAATGTGCGTTATTTGGAAGAAAGTCAAGGTGTCACTGACTTAGTTTAATCTACTAAGTGGATCCCCCCCGCCCCTTCGTCCGCTCCATTTGGGAGAGGTGAACTCTCCTCTTGCGCCCCCTCCCCTCCCCTTTCCACCTCTCTCACAGCTTCTGTGGATGGCACCTTCTCATCAAGCAGGGGCGCCACATATGATAGATAATAGAAAACTGCTTAGCGGCGCAGATTATTTTCTTTCCAAGTGCTTGTGCCGCCCCCCACGTGTCATAAAAAAATGTCGCCCCGGGCGGCTGCCTGGTTCAACCCATGCCAAAAACCGCCACCGGCTGGACTCAGGTTCCCCCCTACTGTGGGGATAGAATCATTAAAGTAATATCAGCAGTGTAGGGATATAATTTACAAGAAAGCCTAGAATGAAAAACTGGGAAATGACAATAAGGCAAAAGGAAAAAAAAAAATCATTAGGTCAAACGCAATGTGTAAAATACACTTTATGAACTGAAATAGAAGTAAACAGCTAAAAATCATAGAAGCTGTTTAAGGCTGTCTCACGTTCCATCTACTCAAACCGTGTACACATGTGTGAGGGTCACGTTCTTCTTGCACATTGTGTTTATACCGTGTGTGTGAGGAATAGACGTGTGCAGGGCTTTTGTGCGTGCACGTTGTTTGTACATTTGGCCCCAGTTGTACTATTTCCACCTGCATTTGTGTCGTCAGACTGAATGATCGCAAGGCGCCTCAGGAGCTCCACAGACCTTGTTTTGTGACAAGCTTTTCTCTAGACCTCTGTGAACTTGAACAGATGGAGGTCTGGGTAAACTTTATTCCTGCTAATCAAAAGGTGGATTAACTGGGTTGAGTCGACTTCTGCCCTCTATCTGTCCCAGAGCTGTTGCTTTCACACACTGGTCAGTCTGTCATTTCTTTCTGTCTGGCCTAAATCCCCTCTTTTGCCTTTTCCATTCCTTTGTCTATCTTTTGCTCCATCGTAATTCCCTATATCCAATTCTTTTCTCTTTTTTTGCACTCTGCAAAGTAATAAAACAGGTTCTAATTCCACAGGGAACTTTTCTCCCTGTGCGCTGTTTGATGCACGGCTGTCATGCATTTAATGAATGTACTGATTAAATCAGGCTCCATCTCAGCCCTGCTGTTGTGTAGGTATAACCCAGACAGAGAGCAGCATCTCCCACTGAGGCGCTCTCAACCTCCTGCTTCACTTTACAGGTGAAATTTAAAGTAACAGTCTGTGACATCTTCACAGAAACTAATTCCAGTTGTGTTAATGAAAAGCAAAAAAGTATATGAAGCTTGTGATTTTCATTCTTTCATACTGCTTGTGGAAGCATTTAATGACTTTGGGGATGGATGAAGTACTCCCCTCTGTCTGAAGCGTCGTTCCAAAGAAGAACCTGCAGCAGATGATGCATCGGGGACGTTCAGCAGTTGCAAACTGCAAGTCTGAAGTTTCAGAGGAGTCAACATCAGGTCTTGAATGTTTCCATGTTCAATATGTCCAAGAGAATTTTCTCTTTTCTGTGTCCCTCTGAGCCGCCACAGACCATGTACCTATCTGCAGCATTGACCCACTGGGGCGAGAGCCTCATGAGGCCAACCTGGCTGATACCACTGTGATCGATTAAATCAATGTATTTATACAGCACTTTAAAAACAATGGCTCATTGACAAAAGTACTTCACTATGATGATAAATAAATAGGATAATTATGGGAGATAAAAAGCTAAAATACAAAATATAAAACCGTGAAACCATACGGCTACTGTTGATGAATTAGCATTACACAGAAGATAAATGAGCTAATCAGGATGCTTTGGATGGAACAGCCTTGGTATATCAGTTACAACAACTTGATTTGGGTGGGAGAGAAAACTGTAATTTGGTTAAATTAAATAATTATAGGATGAATTAGAAGATATTTTTTCTTAAATTATACCTTGATAGAAAATGGATATAATAAAAAGGTACCTCCAGAACAGGCAAACTGGAGTCAACAGTAATTTTGTTATGTTTAGTCCCCCTCACCAGGAGGGTGAGGGAGAACTGGTGTTGGACTCAAGATGGCTGACCCAGGTGCTAGTACAAAAAAGGTGGTTTAATGGAATAAAAACATAACAAAACAGGGTCCATAATACATACAACAAGGGAAGGGCAGTGATGACTAAGGAGACCAGGACAGTAAACACACAAACTAACGACAGAAACTAGGATAGCAGAGGATGAGAACGGACAGGTGAACAAAAAGAACCAGCGTAAACAATGTAATCCACAGCACAGAGACTGTCAGCGTGGAAGACAAAGCACGTATTTCTGTGTTGCTAACCGCATAATTAGCGTGATAAGGTCAAGCCAAAACGCACAAAGACTGTCAGCGTAGCATCTTACACACGTCTAACAAATGCGGGTCAAACACAACATATGTGACTTACATAGGGTAAGTATAGTCCGTCACATGTCGCAAAGCTGCGGCAAAGGCGGAGCGTCTGCCCGAGGTATAAATAAGGAGGAAAACTAATCAGCGGGATTCACCCCAGCTGTGTGCACCGACAAACGAGTCGCTAATTACCAAGTGCAACACAGCTGAGGTGCAGAATCCCGCAGATCAAGGAAATAGAGGAGAGAAAGGTGGAGGAGAGGCAGCGCCAAGTGGCCCTGACATGAAGAGATCCAAAGGGCAGGTAAATAGGTCAGGCAACAGAATATGAGCTAGCACATGACACAAAAATGACTGGAATGCATAACACAAAGGCAAGCAACTATCTGGCAGTGAAGAGAAAGCAAAGTACCCAGATAAATATAGAAATCTCTCAGAATACTTTCAAACATAGCGTAATGATGCAATAGTCACTGACTTTGCTTTAACTTTGAGCATCAACACAAAACAAGGTGCAGAAAAAAAAATCTAACCAAATAAAGAGCTTGTTATTCACTAGATTCTGGAACAGTACTGGTCTAATGAATTTGTTCTCTGTGTCTGATTAGTTAGCTATCAGCGTCATCGGTAACTGCAGACCAGGAAAGAGCCACATAAAGAATCTTCATTATGGAAGAAGTGCTTTAAAAGCCACAGAGGAATGAAAGCTTTCTATGAGAAATCTCAGCAACATAAAGAAAGAATTGCAGTTTTAAAATGAAGCTGCTTTGATAAAGTGAGATGCTCTGAATACTAGCATACTGATAGACTTCTATCAACCCAAGTCATTTCCCGTAAACCCCGTTCCTGCCTATTGGAAAGCCAGTGTTATTGTTTTTATGGAGATTTTAGTCTTTTATGCATTCATATAACAAAATTTATCAGGGTGGTGAAACTGCGACAGGTGTGTATTACCTTCGAAGTGAAACAGCTGGGTGCACCGTGGGGAGTGTGCTGTCCCGTCTCCCTGGTATAAAAAGCAAAATAATGACTTTACCCACAATAAAGTGATCACGCTGTTTAACTGATCACCCGCTGTAGCACACTCTGACATGTATCTGTTGGACTTGATGTGTGTGAGGCAGCAGTTGGACTGTAGCTCCAGAGGACAGACCGTGACCTTTCAGTGAGCTGCACCTACAGGAGAAGGAAAGCTTCTGCTTAAGTCAGCATGCGACTAGAGAGATATTTTGCACTTCAACATAAGGAAATGCCACGGTAGGCCCAACTCATGATGTTAAAACATTTTCTGTGTTTGTCTTTGTCTGGCAGTGAAGTGTAACGTTGGGTCATGTTCAGTGGTTCTCTAGCAGCATCTGAAAACCAGGTTCCTGCAGCAGAGTTTTTTTCTGCAATAGTTAAGAAACAGTCATTTGATTAACTTGTTAGTTTGACAGAAAAAGCACCAAAGATTCTGCTTCTCAAATCTAAGAATTGCTTTTGTTTTGCATTTCTGTTCCTTTTCCCCTAAAGCTGATTAAATCACTGCAGGACACGTGTCGTATCCTGTGCACATTTCTTCATATCTTTTTCATTTTAAGTAGGGATATACAAATACTTAGTTTTCAGAAGATGTTGTATAAAAGCTTTCCTTATCAGACTTTGTTAAATTTGCTTGAATATATCACTAAAGCATAGTATGAGAATTTGATTGAATATGCAGAGTGAGCTCTGGACTGCTTTGTCTCTGTAGTAACCACAGCCTGTCCTTTGTGAAGTGCATATTTTTAGCTGTTTCAGTTGACTCAGAGTGGTTTGTGATGTCGCTGAGGTTTTCTTCCAGCGAGGTCGCCCGGGTATTTGTGCTAAGGGTTCATTAGGATGCTTTGATACGCTTTTCTTTGAGAGGCTTTTAAAGCAGAGATTTGATTAAAAAACATCAAAGACGAAGCTCCTGTCTCACATTCTCCCTGCTTCACACCGACACCCTCTGCTTTTGTCTTTCCTCATATTAAAAGTATTTTC